TTTTTTATTTTGATTTAAAGAGGTGGCCAATCTACAATGGTGTGCCTTTGGTTTTTTAGGGGAAAAATTTGTCTGTTTCCCCGATTTTTTGTGTTCTTGGGGAAAATATTAATACCAGTCAAAGGACTTAAAATATACACTATTTTTTTCTTTTTCCTGGTTGTTTGGGTGAAAGAAATAAAAAAAAAAAAATTTTTTAATTTATGGGGGGGGGGGGGGGAGGCAGTGGATTGCAGCCAGGTGGTTTGCTTGGATTGTTGTTGTTATTGTTGTTGTTGTTGTTGTTGGGTGGGTGGAGAGAGAGAGAGAGAGAGAGAGAGGACGGCGGAGACATTTCGGAGAGTTGTATAGAGTGAAGAAGGGCGGGGCCAAGGAGGGTTTGTCGACTTGCCTACCGGGGACATTCCCAAGCTTCGTCTCAGCCGGCTAGCCAGTTTGACGAGACGACTGTGGTTGCTGGATGGGATGTTAGAGTAAGGCCGCATGTGGCTAGCTGGGGTTAGTAAGGTGGCCATGACGGGAGGAGAAGCTCGGGCTCCCGACAGTCAGGGTGCGAGTTGCATGACTGCGTCTATTCGTCTTGACAGGCGGGCCGCGGAGCCAGGGATGGCCGATGACACGCATCTTCCCCTCCTGCGACGTTGTCGTACTGAGATGACTGCGATGACTGCGATGACTGCGATGACTGCAATGACTGCAATGACTGCGATGACTGCGATGACTGCGATGACTGCAATGACTGCAATGACTGCAACTACTGCACCTACTGCACCTACTGCACCTACTGCACCTACTGCACCTACTGCACCAGCTACTCTGCGAGTGACTACGCTGCGCTGCTGTGACTACGGTAACCCGCCTCGGCTACCGTCTCGTTTTCTGCATCTAGAGTACGATACGCCATGTAGAGTAGAGTGAGTACCTGTGGGATTCCAACAAGCCGTGGGGCTCGTACCGGTACAGTACTCTACCAGTGGGGATTGGTAGCCAGCGTACCGAGTAGCTAGCTTGGGGGTACTCTAGAGCACGGTACTCTAGGTAGGTACATAGAGTACCTACCGATGGGCACTAGTAGGCTTTCCCCTTCCCCTTCCCCACCCCGTAGTACTACTCCTACAGTAGAGTACCTCTATAGGTAGGTACCTGCTCTCACCCTTGGCAATCAGGATCTGCAAACTCCTCCTCTCCTCACACGAGATGCAGGTCATGTCGGTGGTGCCGGTGGGTGGCGTTGGTGTGCTTTGTCTGGGCCCACATGGCGGCAGCGCGAGCCGTGGAAGAGGCCAGCTGCCGTTGGGGGTGCATCCAGTAGTAGGTATCGTAGAGTACTACTACTCCATGTCGATGGCTGTGTGCTACCCCATGTAGGTAAGAGATGATTCATCTACAGTAGCTAGTGTGTATAAAGTAGAGCCAAGTCCAGTCCGCTTGCTGACCTGCCTATCCTCGTCCGGTAGAGGAGGTGTTGGCATGTCGAGTAGAGTACCTAGACGAGCTCGAGTGATGCTGTTCCCACCACTGAGCACCCTGCTGGCGCCCGACGTTCGCTGGCGACCGGCCGAAGCAACAGCCTGACTTGCTCTTATCAATCGCCCAAACGGATGCTTACTGCAGAAGAGAGCGTTTTGCCGCCCTGCTCCACAGGGAGTGTGTAGGTACTACGATACGATTCGGCTCAACGGTCGACCGTCCACGACATGGCAAGGCTGGGACAGGGAAAGAGGCCAGGACTGTTCGCCGTCCCCTCCCCCAGACCATTCACCAATGGAGGGCACATGCATCCAGCCTAAAGGGAAGCCCGGCCTGCTCTCTCTCTCTCTCTCTCTCTCCAGTACAACGGGCTGTCTGGCATTTGGTAGTCACTGTTGTAGACTAAGCTGGAAACGGCAAGCATGTCTTGCATGGGTGTATACAGCAAGTGCGATCCGTACCGTTGCCACATCCGCTCTAGCCCGAACTGGTCCGTTGCTGACAGGACACCGCGTCTGTGCACACCGCCACCACGCCATCCCGCCCCGCCAACTCCCTCTCGACCATTCCGGTTTGGTGACTAGCGCGAGGTTCCCAAACGCTCACACCGAACCAGACCAGAGGCGTGGATGTGCGTACAGTTCAACCAAATCCAAACTCGGGCAAGCGGCCGCATACGTACCGGTAAGCCTTGAGCCCTGCGCCGTCTGGGCCGTTCCGAGCCTCTCACAGCCTGGTTTTCAGTACTTTGGGCAGTATTGTATCCATCGCCCTCGTATCTTATTCACGGGTCTCACAAGCTCCCTGTCCGTCAACGTCACCCGTCACCATCAGTGTCATCGTCAGTGTCCCATGTGTGTGCTGTGTGTGCTGTGTGCGCTGTGTGTCCGTACTCCTAGTAGACCTTGCCCTGCCTGTTCGACGTCTTTGCGCGCCCGAACAAGCCAAAGCCCACTGGCAATGGATCCATGAACGGTCGAGGGCGAGGGCGGGGGAGGGCAATTTGGCCCATATCAAGGTAGGTTATAGATGGGATGGACCAACCATGAATAATGAACCCCGTACTCAGTCATCTACTTACACTGTCCTGGCCTTACCTTACCGACCTACCTGCCTAGGAAATACTCTGCCTTCCTAGCCACTCTCTCTCCCGCCTACGGTTCCGGTATCGTAGCTAGGTCATCGTAAGCAGAGGCTACCTACCATACGAGTACACCACGCCGCTCCTCCCCGCTGTGGATACTGCACGGCCCCTCCCGTCCTCCCGCCTTGGATCGCTGAGCTGCTTTGTCGCAAGTCTTCCTCTCTGCTTACACGGCTTGGTGGAGTGGACGGTATACCTACCTAGTACGCACTGCACTGTACGGTACGCCTGAACCTCGGCACCCTATATCTACCCCCTACCTACCTCCACGTCCTCCCTGATAAGCAGAGAGACTGGTCCATCACCACCCTCATCTTCAAGTTGCAAGTGCTGCGAGCCTGCGAACCTCGCTATTTCTCCACTGCCGGTTTCGGCCTGCATCCAACGCCTCCGCCCCTTCTCTTCCCCTCCCCCACGTTCAGCCTTAGCGCCCGCCACCATTGGATTCACGACATACATAGCCTACCCTACTCTAGGTACCGCCACGGACACGGACGATAGCTTCCGGACACAACAGCCAAGCCGCTAACAAGGCCAATGTCGCCAGCACCGCCGCCCTGTGGCTTCGCCGAGGCGGAGTCGACAAACACAAAGTCTGCCCCCAAGTTCCGGTCGGCCTGCAATGCCTGTCACGAAGTCAAGCTCAAATGCCTGGGTGGCCAGCCTTGCGCACGCTGCCGAAACAAGCAGGTCGAGTGTGTATACAGCCATGCCGCCCGCATTGGGAAGCCAAAAGGAAGCAGGAACAAAAAGACACTGGAGCGGCTGCGGCAGGCCAAGGCCATGTCCAGACCAGAGGAGACACAGGGAGAAGAGACGACGTCCTTGACAGCGGTAGACGCGAGCCAAGCCATCAACTGCCGCGCCTTGAGTGGCTCCACGCGCCGAGATTCCTCCCCCCTTCCTCCCCCTCATTCGGATACAGACTCGGCGGAGGGGGGTGCAGAAGAGGAGCTGCTCGATCAAGAGGAAAGAGACGAGGCAGAAAAGCCGCCATTGGTAGAGAACCCTCCGAATCTAAACCCACTCGAGCAAATCAGCCCCCCGAGAGAGGACTTTCTGGATCTGTTGGCACACTCCAGCCTGCTCAACAACACCCAACACGACCTGCAACACCCGACGGCTGATATGGTACCCGATGGCCTGGCCGGTTTCCCACATGCCTCCACTTCCGCTGCAGACGACCTGTCGTGGATGACTTCGCCCACAAAATCACTCTTGAGCACGACATTTCCAGCCATCGAGGATGATTTGCAGGACTTGCAGGATCCCTTCCTGTGCTCCAGTTGGAGGGTAAGCACGCCATTCCTGCCCAAATCACGACCCTGCAAAAAGCACGCTATCCTCCTGACCATTGCGCAACACCATGGCCAAGTTTCTGATTTGCATCGTATTTAGAGCGCCTGTCTACCCCCGTCCTCTTCGAGATCATCCTTCCACTTTCCACGCTTCAATCACTTCGCAGGTAGGTTCCACTCGCCACTCCCACCTCAGCCTCGAGTGAGGCCCTAGCCGTGCCATGCACATGGGTGTCCGACTGACTTCAAACCATGACAGAAGACACAATGGGTCTGGAATACGCTTCGGGCATGGATGCCACCAGGTCGCTAGGCGATCCACCGCACGCCATGGCGAGGGCTGGCTCCTTCTCCACCAGCGGTCCCGGCTCGAGCCAAGAAGGCAGCCACTTCCTGTCTAGCAGGCACAGTCAATCCTCGGGCATGTACCAGCCGGTCCCCAAAAGACCGTCTTGTTCCTGTCTCAAGTTGCAGGCCTCTGCCCTGTGTCGCATTCATCTCGTCGACCGGTCTCACGCCGACATGCGCGGGGACACCGTCCTAGCCACTGCGTCCACCATTCTCGACTCGTGCAATGCCCTGATCTTGTGTCCCTCCTGCGCAACAGACTACAAATTCCTTCTCCTCGCCATCATGACAGTGCGAATCCTGCTTTGTTGGCTTCGCGGTCTTTCTGCTACACGCACCCAGAATGACAACGCCAACATGAAACTGACATTGGGCGAGTACGAAATCTCTGGAGAAGAAGAAGCCATTATCAAGAATATGCTGGTCTCACGAGCACTCGAGAAGGTCAAGATTGCTGTCCGGAGACTCCGAGAGCGTGTGAACAGTATCACGATACAAGAGGTGGGCAATTGCAGCGAGTCTACACAGCGCTGGGATCTTACGTACATACGCATGTGCCTCGATCACATGGAAAAACAGGTGGGCTGCTGAGAGAGATTCCCCGACGACTGACTTGCTTGTTATCCCCGACGTCCGGGGGATACATGTTTTATTTTTATGATTACAACATAGATTGCAGAGCAGATTGCATTCGGACCCGCAGGTTGCGGATGAGGGGCGTACCTGTCCAAAGTCATTCACCAAGTGCTGCCATATTTTTTAATGTAGTTGCAGCAGGAATAGCACTGCATTCACAACAATTTACAACCAGTATCTAAACGGCCAGGACAACTACGGAAGGATGCGTGCCTTTTTGAAGAGCGCCCAGGCCTTGTCAAAAGCCGCAATCGTATCGTCGCGTGCCTCAAACCCAATTTTCTTTGCCTTGTCCAGCGATAAGATCCGATCGACCGTCGGCCTCATGGTGTTGACAAAGCAAACCTCGGACAGGTTACCTCCCCATCCCTTCTGAACCTGATTCTCCTCCTCCCACTTCTTCATGGTCGTCTCATCGCCCAATGGCCAGCTCCATCCTGTAGCTCCCTTGGCACCGCCCTCTGCCTCCCCCTTACCCTCCTCTTCCCCGGCACCTTCTGGCCCGACGCCTCGGAGGCCGAAACGAGCAGCAGCCTCAGGCCACAACTTGGACCATGTCAAGACATCCCCATTCGACACATTGAATGCCTCGCCACTCTGCAAGCCCTCGGCGTGCGTAGCCAGATGAATCTCGAACCGAGCCAGCTGATCCTGTGACACCATCGAGAACTTGCACTTCCACGACTCCGGCGTGCCGGGAAAACGCACTGGAGCGCCGGCGCCATGCACATGCGCATATGTGGCCAGGAATAGACCCAGAGATACCGTAAAGTTGTTTTCATGCCGGCGGGGCACGTATCCTATCTGTTGGCCGTCAGTGTCGCGGTTTTCATTTCCGAGGGCGGAGAAGTCTCTCGGCGAGGGAAAAAGAGAGTGTACGCACCACAGCATCGGGTCGGACTTCAAACCATGACCAGGATTTTCCTTTGCTGAGCCGCTTCAATTCGTCGCACTGGGCGTAGTGAACGTCCATTTCCCGGTAAGGAGACGGCGTTCGATCGGCGCTTTCCACAAGCGGACTCGGGCATGTGAGCGTGCCGCCCATGAGGGAGGCGAAGATGCCGTAAACCTGACTTCAGAGTAAGCAAACAGTACGGGGATGGTGCAGATGGGATGCACGCCCTTGATGTTGAGGGTGTGAGGGAAAAATCATCCCTTCCCCCCCAAACCACAAAGGCTAACCTACATTGATACTCGTTTGCATGATCAATACTTGCATGTTGCTGCTTAGTTGCTCTGCAGCTTTGACTGCAGACTGGATCATCTTGACATTGAAGCTGATCCGCTCGTCTGGTCCATCACTCGGTGAGTTGCGATTCGCTGTCATGTATTACTGTTAGTCTTGCGCTTTGGTCCCCAGCATGCCGCACCTGCATCGACCACCAGAACAGCCGTGGCAAGAAAAGAAAAACACCCACCAACATAAAAAACATGCGTCACATTTTCAATCCCCTTGACCTCCTTGAGCACCTCCACCACGCTATCCTCGCCTTGCAGCAGATCCACCCCGTCGACGAGCTCGAACCTCTTGTCCTCGAGGAACAGGCCCAGGTCTTGGGCGGGTTGCTTGCAGACGCCGATTACGCGGCTGAAGGTTGGTGTGGAGGCGGAGTCGGCTTGTTGCTCGAGTAGGTTTTTGCACAGACCCCAGCCTGTGACGCCGGTTGCGCCGTAGACGAGGGCGGTGGGAGAAGGGGGGGTGGTTTTGGAGGGACTCATTTTGTTTTGATAATTTTTTTTGGAAGAAGGGGGGGATGGGGGACTTGTTTTGAGGGATTGGGGGTTGGGGGCTGAGCGATTGAGCGATTGAGAGGTATAATACAGCTTGGCTATCTTGCTACGTTCAACAAGGCAAAAGAGGAATAGATGAAGCCGTTGAATTCTGGAGCTGAGATGTTGGATGTGGGATATATGTATTTGTACATGTGGTGCGGGATTCGGGTAGTATTCTTGTTGCTTTTTTTTTAACGGTGGTGGAGGTTTGAGGGCTCGGAATGTATGTATCGCTATGTTGTATTTTTATTCATTTTTTTTTGGGATGGGGTCAGATGGTGGGGATGTGATGCTGCATTTGTTTTTATTAATAGTTTTTTTTTTTGATCTGTTATGTGCTGAGATGGCGGAGACGTTGGGTTTGGATATATGGATATGCAGTTGCATGGTACCCCTGGTTCTGGATTGATCTTGGATATTACTGCCTTGGTGGATGGGATGGGGATTGGATGGGTGGTGTTTCCTTCATTCCTCCGGGCCTAGGAAGTAGCGCGAG